ATATATTTAAAATCATTATTATTAACATACCTCCTTCATCCATTTTGGGATCTGTGTATAGTAAGGCCTCTTGATTAGTTCACTAGCTTTATCCATGTCTGCTTTGGTGAGGGGAATTAAGCTGTCCTTAGGTATCTGAAGACGTTTCACGTCCGAAGGGAGAACCCCTAACCATCGTATACTGGGGACCGTGAGGTTGTGTGAATCAAATGAATATGACTGGAATGAAGAAATTAATTTAAATGTTAATAAAAGGAAAATTATATCTACAAAATAATGCTAGTCAAATTATATGCTTTAATTGTGTCTTGTTTATTATCATTATTCTCTATGATATGGTTTATGTAGCAGTAAGATTTTGTTACATAGTCTTTAAACGTGCACATTGGCCATTTTGCACACGGTACCAACAGCTGACTGAGCTAGCTGCTCTCTTACTACCTGCCAATATAAGCCTATAAACAGTGGTGGCACCAGGATTTGTGGGGGAGGGGGTCCCGGTCACTCAAAATCTCTTGAAAGTGTTCCATGGGGACGAAAAATATGACAATTAAGGGGTTTTAAAGGCTTATTTAATCGATTTTGTGTCTACTAATGCAAAAAATACATATACATTTTTTTATCCCCAACGAATTGTGGTTTTTCTTCAAGACAGGGGGGCCCTGGAATGTCAACATTTTTAAAATCTATTTTATTACACTAAACTAACATTTATATATCTATATTTTATTCTATGCTGTTATTTTCCCCATTTTCAATGTTAAAAAAACAGTTTTAACAATTGGTAATGATTTCTGCCTGAGAAATGCCCAAAATCATAAATTTGAAGGCTGATTTCTCAAATATTGTTCTTTAAACTGCTGTATGTTTAAACTTCTCTAACTTCATGACCAAATGTCAGATTTGACTGATTCTTTTACCATTTTATAGCTTTCATTTTACTGTTTAACGCTATATTAATAACTCAATTAAATTTTTGCGACAAGTGACTGACTTGTCTTTGCCACATATATTGTCTAAGGAAAAAAAACAAATTTACCTTGGATCCAAATTTGTAGACACAAAGTATTTCAATACCTGTTTGAAAAGATTTATTAAAGATGAATAATAATATATTGCACTGTATTTGCTACTTTTAGTGACAACCATGGACTGTAGCTAAACAATGAAGTATACAGTACCATAGAGACAACATGCAAACATTCTGAATTTGTGATAAATGGGTTAGTTTGTGTGAGAATTCTTGCTTGCTCACACATTTCTAGGTGATGACGATGATGGTGATGATGATGATGATGATAATGATGATGATGCTGATAATTTGTACATACCATGTGGATCGGCATCAACTAGACCAAAAATAGGAAGATGTAAGGAATCCCATAACCTCTTGACCATCATCCTAGTGTTGATGTCTGGAAAGCCTTTACCCTGCCAGAACCAAAATTGAAGATGAAATCACAGCAATGTACCATATCAGGAGTATGGCTGAGGTTAAAGTGATTGTTAATATAGTAGTGGATGGAAGGGATTGACTGAGTGACTAATTGATTGACTGACTGATAAATTGATTGATTGATTGATCAATTGATTGATTGATTGATCAAATGATTGATTGATTGACTGATTGATTGACTGACTGACTAATTGATTGATTGATTGACTGATTGATTGAATAATTGATTTTCATAATTTTAATAGCCCAGGCAGATTCTATTTGCTCCCATGTGCTATCTGTTCCAATAGACATTTAGCACTGGAGTATCACAATCAAACCACTAGCAAATAAAAACAAATAAATCTTGCGCAGAGATTTTTACCATTTCACTCTTCAAATTCATGCATATTCCCAATTTATTAGGTTGTTCTTTTATAAACTAGTGGTAAGAAATATATGAACTGAATGAATGTATAAATAATGTATAAATGTAGAAATAAAAGCTTACTGTAATGATTATACAATGCTGGATTCTGTCCAGTAAACCATCATCTAGAAGCTTTTGAAACGTTGCATCCTTCTCAATGATTAAAATAAACTTTGCATCTGAACGAATATCTTGTTAATGTTGTTAAAAGAAAAGTCAAACCATATCAATTATGTATATTTACATCAGTATGCTATATTATAATAAGTACTTTTTTATGAAAAACATAAAATGTTGATCTCAAAATCTGTCTCTTATACACATCTAGATGTGTATAAGAGACAGACTAAAAGGATACTAGTGAGGCCTTCTACATGTGAGGGCACAAGAATTCCCTGCAATAAAAACAAAATCTTTAAATTACAAATAATCATTGAATAAGTAATAAGAAAATAAGAAATATGAACTAAATAAAAGAAGCAAAGAGAATATGACATGGAAAGCCAAACTGCATTATTGAAGAGTAAAGCCAGATTCACACTAGACTGGGCCTAATAGAGAATATAAGAAATAACAGTGGTCAATATAGGGTTTTGAAGAATAGATAAACAAAATAAAAAATAAACTTACAGTTGTAGATGTTGAGCAGTTGATGCAGTTACCATCGACTTCAATGAAGCTTAGATCCCCAGCTAGACATCCTTTAGATGTTGCCAACTAAAATAACCAAGAGGTTGAATATGAAATAGTAACAATGAGATAATAGCAACTAAAATTGATGGTGTTAATATTCTATTTCATATTTTCTATTGATTATGAAAATAAATATGATTCTGATTATTTAAAAAAAATAAAATATCTACCCAGATTCCCCAATTGTTTTGCTCACCAAGTGTAGATGATGCCGTGGAACAGACAACATACAAGCAATGCTGTCAGCTAGCTGATCCACTACTGACTGACTTCCATATAATTGAGGATCATTGTAATAGATGTCCCTAAAAAATTACAGGTCAATATTAAAGAATTTTATATTTTGCCTTAATCACATAGACAATAATAAGTAGTATTAATATTTTGAACATAATCACATAAGCATAAAAAGGAGTCTGATAAGACATATGCATGTATTTTTCAGCACTTGTTTGTTGGAGATAAAAAAAAATGTCAACCTTGAATTTTATGGGAGTTAAAGTAGTATCCCCATGTTTTCCCGAGATTTGTATACCTGGTGTCACATCTTACATGATCTAAGCCCACTATTTGACTCATGTTATATATGTGAACATTTAAATTATAATGAACAAGTGAAGTATCAGTCAGTACCGTAGCTTGTTGTTTTACACCACATTACCTCTGATTCTAAGAAACCCAAGTCCAATTACAAAAGTCTATTTTTTAAAATTTAATTTAGGTATTATAATCTGGCAAAATGTAATTTAACAAGATATTGGTCTTCAGTCGCATTTAGTTATATAATGATAATAACTTTTTTAATACATGGAAACCTACCGTTTAGTTGAGAATGTATTGCTTTGTACTAGCTTATAGCATTCAGACATCAGACTTAACGTGACAGCTGTACAAAGAAAAAAATACATGTTTATAAATTGGTGGTTTATTGTACTAGGTTATGCTTTGGTGTGGAGTTGAATAGCTTGCGGGGTTAAGATGGTTGTCGTCTAATTCCATGGTCATGGGTTCAATTCCTTTCACAGCAGCATTTTTTTCTCATGACAAATCCACTTTTTAAGCCTCTTTGAAAAAAATTACTTTACAAATCTTAACAAGTCCATGTGGGAGAACAATAGACAGACTTCTCTGTAACAGGTTACCCAGTACTGTATAAAGATTTTTTATAAATAATAAAAATAATAGAAATTCCACCTCTTTGTTATTGTTTATATCCATAAAAAGAATTTAACCCACAATCTAATACCCTTCATATGACATTTTCCTTTTCATCCCCTCTTGGCCTAAGCCATATGTTTTTAAGCTACTCACCAAACCTATTAGTTGACTTAATTGCATCAAATCTTAATTCACAAACATTTGTTCCCTTGTTCAACTTGAGTCCTACATCAGCTGAAAAACTTAGAAGTGTAATTGCATTATTAATATAGACCTATATATTAGGTCTATATTAATTTATATATTAATTTATATTCAGAAAAATTGACAATTCTTATTTAAAATAATTCAACAAAAATTTAAAAGAAAGATAGCAAATAACAATAAAACAGATATTATTGTGTATGTATATGTATTATTATAAATAATAATTAACTATAGGTCTATTTTGATTAGTTATATGTACAAATGTGTAGAAAATGATGAGTTAAGAATTAATGGATTTGGTGATCAAAAAAAAAAAATATATTAAAAATACAATTCAACCCCTACCTACCTTACATTTTGCCAGCTTGTACGATTACCAAGCTCAATTACAGGCGCTTCCCACTGTCGTAAACTTTCAATAACTTTCTCCATAACAACTTCTAATTTTCTCAGCACTTCATTTCTGAAGAAAAAACAATACATTATAAGAACAATAACAAGAAATAGGCCTAGGCCTATGCGTATCTTTTTTAGATAGGTTGGAGAGCATCGCGCCGACATATAAAATCATGCAGTGTTAAACGAAGTAAAAAAATAGGAAAAAGGAAACATACAATTGACATAATCAAGATTTAGAAATTTTACTGTGGGTAGAATCAGCCTATAAATTAATAACTAGGCATAAAATAGGCCATTACCTAGGCCATATGGGCCTGCCCCCGGCCTACCGTCGCGTAACTCTACCACCAAAGAGTATAAATAGAACAAGAGAGCAAAGTCCCGTTCGTAAAAACGTCATGCCTGTGTAGGACGCCCACTAACGGTTGTATATTCTTTTTATTACCCAGTGTATAGGTCTATTTTGATTAGTTATATGTACAAATGTGTAGAAAATGATGAGTTAAGAATTAATGGATTTGGTGATCAAAAAAAAAAAAAAATATTAAAAATACAATTCAACCCCTACCTACCTTACATTTTGCCAGCTTGTACGATTACCAAGCTCAATTACAGGCGCTTCCCACTGTCGTAAACTTTCAATAACTTTCTCCATAACAACTTCTAATTTTCTCAGCACTTCATTTCTGAAGAAAAAACAATACATTATAAGAACAATAACAAGAAATAGGCCTAGGCCTATGCGTATCTTTTTTAGATAGGTTGGAGAGCATCGCGCCGACATATGAAATCATGCAGTGTTAAACGAAGTAAAAAAATAGGAAAAAGGAAACATACAATTGACATAATCAAGATTTAGAAATTTTACTGTGGGTAGAATCAGCCTATAAATTACTAACTAGGCATAAAATAGGCCATTACCTAGGCCATATGGGCCTGCCCCCGGCCTACCGTCGCGTAACTACCACCACCACCACCACCACCATCAATGAATTCTGAGAAAAGCAGGCTATCCCCTGATTAGAATAAATTGATCGATATGTCTGATGTTTGTGCTGCGTTCACCATCTATGTTTAGCCTACCTTTGACGTAATGAAGAGCCCTCTTTATCTGAATCATCTGCTTGTTTCTCGTTTTCTTTGCTTAGAACAGTTATTCGTTCATGAAGTATATTTTCTTCGTGTAGTTTATCTAAATTATGCCAGAAATCATCACGCTCAACTTCCTCCGCCATTTGCCTGACTGAAAAAGTTTGTGAAGATTTTGACAACAGAGGGCGCATTTTTCTCTCGGTAGACCTAGAGCTGATTGAACCATTGATAAATATTAAATATAAGAGATACCTTAGCCTAATGTAACAAGTAGAAATATTGAATTTCTCATTTGAGGATTTTTTCCCTTCCCGACAACCCAAATGAGCTCGCAAAAATGGTTGAAAAATCTCAAAGAACTAGTTTTATAATCTTTAATTTATTTTATTTAGTTATAATTGACGTTCATTTAGGGGTCATCCATAATTATCAAAGTTTTCGAAAGAGTACAAAACATATGCTTTGGGGAAGAGGGGGTTGAAAGTGTAGGCATAAGTACTCTTTTATGAAAAACATAAAATGTTGATCTCAAAATGACACAAATCAACATTTTACTGTGTACTCTTTCGGGGGGAGGGAGGGGGTAACAGAGTATGTTTTGTACTCTTTTGAAAATGTTGATAATTATGGATGACCCCTTATTTCTTTTACTTGACAAGTACGTACATATACAGGGTATTGAATTACTCATTTGAGAATTATTTTGTACTCCTCGACAACTCAAATGAGCTCTCAAAAATGGTAGATAAATCTCAAAGTACTAGTTTCATAATCTTTAATTAATTTTATTTAGTTATAATTGACGTTCATTTATTTCTTTGACCGTACAAAAATACACACATATTGTACACAGTTGCAGTTAAATCAAGGAAAACCTCGACTATTATTCAAATAAATTTTGACCAGCTAATTTATAAGGATCGAATAGCTTCTAACAGGAACAGATCGGAAATTTTTTTTTATTCATTCGCTACAAAAATCCTTTAAGTGATTACCGTCAATTTAACCGGGTCTAGGCCTATGTAAAAAAAATTCAGGAAAAGTAGGCCTATTATTTATATGACCATTGACAGGATACAGAATTGTAATTGTCATTTAGTAACTTAAATTGAATTTTCAATATTTCAGCAGGTCATGACAGACAGTATGAAACTGATACAATTAAATCAGGCGGCAGACAAGTAAGACTGAGAATGACGAACATCACATTGTATATTTCGTTACTTATCTTTATACTAATCACTCGTAGGCTTTTTTATACCTATATAGTCCAATATTGATATTACATTACTCTCTGTCGGTGGTGGATGACGGTTTACAAGTACATGTGGTGGTACACCGTGAGTGTTAAAATAATCGCAAGGGAGCCCTCTGTAAATCACGTGACATTACAAGTTCAAGTATGGCCGCTATCACCACCGGTGATGTGGAATCTTGTAATTGATGGCAGAACAATAATATTATAATTTATGTTTCTTGTTCATCCTAATTTTGCTCTTCTGACTGTCGCAATAAGTGATCTACAAGATGCAGGACGCTCTGAAGTCTAATAATATGTTTTTACGCAGAGCTTTGGAAAAAATACTAAATGAAAAAGAAACGAAGAAATCGTACAACTCACAACTGAAAAAGGCCTGCGAAGTTGCACTGGGTAAGGAAGTAGCTGTACTCCCGCGAAAGGGGGGCGTAGGCCCTAGGCCTAGGCTTATATTGGTTCATGAGCCAGCCTAGGCCCAGGTGGAGTTTGGGCATACAGTACTTGTTTCTTTTGCATTTGGTCTTATGATTAGAAAAGCTTATTTCCAGGCAAAACTACGATATGATTTTGGTGTAACATAATAGTACCATAGGCTAGCCTAATACTAGGCCTAATACCTGCAGCCTACTAACTAGGCTAGGACCTAGGCCAAGGCTACTTAGTACTACAGCAAACAAGCAGGAAGGGAAGAGAACCCTAACCATTTCAGACTAGACAGAGTCAAAGGAGGGGGATGCCCTCTTAGGACTTCCAAAGGCTAGGCAATAGGTAGGCAAGCCTTTTATTTTTTTCTCTACTACGTATATAAGTAGCATAATTACTATAGCCTAGCTAGTATAATTTCTCGATGTCAAGTCCCAACTGAAGGAGATCCTTTTGAGTATTCAACAAAATGACGTAATCATAGCCTAGGCCCTAGCCCCACTAGCCCTAGGCCTATCTCATTGAGTTCTATGAAAATTCTGCAGCTAATAATAATATAAATCATGTTTGGTAGTACTGTAGTACATTAACGGTGAAAACAAAGTTTTTCACTTGTCATTTACAATGCAGGTATCAGATGAATATTTCCAAAAATAGTGAAAAATTTGATATAGACTAAGGCCTAGCTGAATGCATTAACAACATATTCAGGGAAAATCGTTGTATTAATACAAAAATGATAAATACACATTGCTAGGCATTTAACTTGGAACTTCTTACTACAATTAACAACAATTGTTTTCAAACATGATTCACATTTCACAAGGATGAGTATAGGGGAAAGAGAAGGATTTGAAATTTAAAAGGATCAAAATTTGGAATTGATCTTGTTGCTGGTGGATTGGTTTTTGTTCTAATTTATCTGTTTGTAATTAATAGAATATTTCAATTTATATAGAAACAAGAAATTCTCAAGAGCTTACATTTGAGATGACATTTGAGACCTTCCCCCATTCTCATGTTCCATTCCAATTTTTTCATGTTACCTGTATCATTCTAGTTCTATTCAGTTACTCATCTACTGTACGCCTGTTTAGCATATCTGGATAAGTCCAACAGGGGCTGTGAGAAGGACCAGTACACTGGAGTAATCCCCTGTATTTATCTCGGATGTACTGGGTTCCTCATAGTGCACATGAGCCAATTGTGTACGTTGGGCCTGTGGTTTATCCTCCTTATCCGAGAAGACTTGTTCCACCTGTACATACAGTATAGACATGAATTGAAATATCAAGCTAATGTTGTTTCTTGTTGGCAGTTTGGAAAGTGTCGGCTATATGATAATTAATAAAGGCATATTTGTAAGCTGAAATTCATGCATTTGGAAAAAAAAAAAACTACTGAAGGCTCCCTTGTACTGTATGTATCGATTGTGTTGTCAATATATTTTATTATAATGATCTTCAGAGAAGGAGTAGGATGAAAGGAGGGAGATTAGACATACTGTATGAATATGTTATTGCTCAGGGTACCAAGATGTTAAACAACATCCAAACTAATATTCCTCCATGATCCATCCACCACAATCCAAAAATTTATTTCCCATATAGTGAAATAATGTGGGTTTGTACTTTACAGACAAAACAATATTACAGATAAAAATCCAGTATTACATTTTCAGAAAATAATAGTGGATTGTCTCCAAGTTCTGAACAATTGAGTATTTAGAAGTATAACTTGTAATATTCTATTGTCTGTGTTTTGTTAGAGTCAAACAAAGGTATCAGAGAAAATTGTAACAATATATTCAATAGTGTTAGTAATCTTTCAAGCATGTGCCGAAAAATAATGTAAACTATTCAAATAATGTGTTTCATATAAAGTAGATTCACTATACTGTAATTTGCACTTGGGGAATACTGGTATCTACTCCAATTCTTACTCCTATCATGGAGGACTGTGATATGCTTCATTGGTTTAATGTTGTTTATTAGGATTTACATGACTAGCAGCTTATACTTAACCTCATCACAATTGACTTAACCATTACATTTGAGAATACATGAATGCGAGTTTATGTGGTTAAAATATTTACTACAACAGGATGCTTAATTACAATACTCAAGATTTGAGCTAAATGACTTGAAAAATACATTCAAATTTGTATTACGGTATACTGTACCTTGGTAATTAATAATTTACAGACATTCTCAGAAATGTACTGACACATTCATTTGCAATGAATTCATTTAGGCTTCTTGTTGAAGGATTACTAAACAGTAAGTAAGTAACAGTAACATTAACAAATCAAACACTGAACTGTAGTGTATATTTTTCAATAGAAATTAGAGAGATTTTGAGAATACTTTATACCATGCTAATATTAACATACCTTTCCTTAGACCCTTAACTGACTAGTTGTCATTTTCAAATATAAAATCCAAATTAATGAAAACTGAATTGTTCCTATCATTTAAGGTGATAACTTAATTTTTCTTTCAAATGAAAAAGTCAGTGTTTTGATTTATTTTTTTTTTGTCTGATTTCACCACCCAGACAGTATGTTTATGCAACCAAAAGGAAAAAACTGCGAATATTATCATTGAATTGCCACCAATTTTAAATGTGATGGAGAAGCCACACATACTAAGTAGTTGGTTCTATTTTTAGACTATGATATCATCATAGTTTTGGTGGATTAGTCAGTGCTTAAGAACAGTATGTTGTTTTAATATCAGTACAAGCATTGAGGTTCAAGCATACCAGACATATCATACTAACCTATAGTTATTATAATAATGTTGCAAATGATCCTACCATCCCATACTTTTATTCAATTTATTAGTATATTAAACAATTTTTATTTATTTGCTATCTAGCAAGATTGATCATTTAGGACCACAACGCTTTAATTTCTTTTGAATTGGAAAGACATTCTGTACTGTAGGCTGCAATAATTTATTTCTAAGCACTGTTGTAATTTTAAATTATTAAGTACAAGATGATTCTTGATGACCTTTTCAATATAAACTAGCAAACCATAGCTCAGATTTAATTAATAAAAAATTATTATAGAATAGATGCCAATTAAATGAGATTATTTTTATATGCAAATTTATGTATTAAAAAAAATTATATTAGTAAATTGTTTAGTACAGTGCTTTGTAGGAAAATTACAGCACTGATAATACAGTAATAACCCAGCATTTATACTGTGCCATCTGCATAGATAATTTGTACCCATGGCTATTGGATCAAGATTGGATATCGGTACACATACAGACATGTTTGTCTTTTTTTTTTCTTCAGTAATACTCTGATTAGTTTTCCCGGATATTGACCCATGATGGTTTCAGTAAGAAATATTGAAATGAACCTAAATGAAACAGCCTCCGCTTCCTGTTGAGTCCCGTAATAGTGTATTCCTGCAATAGTACAGTACGGTTAAATTCCGCACAAAAAAACAATACATTAGAAAAATTATATTTTAATCCCTGGGTGGTCGACAAACATTGATCCCTGTAATGTCTTCCAAGGACATAAGCCGGCATTGATTGGATAACCTGTTAGCTGGAAGCCCATTTTCTTATGCATAAATTTAAATAAATTAATTCTCTTCTTTAATGTTATAGAATAAAAAGCTGTCAACATAATTGTTTCAAACAGAATTGTTGCAATTCCTTTTTTTTTTTAGTATTCTCATTGAATAAAAAAAAAAACCAGTCAATCTTTTTTATACTACAGTATCAAGGATAAACATAATAATAAATAAATGTTACTTTGTTTAATTATACTCGAATAAAAACAAAAAATATAGATAATAAATCTAACAATTTTGATAACCTGGGATTATTACCGTAATTATTGTTAACATTTTGTTTTAATTCTATTTTCCAGGTGAGATAAAATCTGAACAAGGGGAAACAAAGTAAGTGTGCATGTCTATCAATCTGAATTTGCAACTGTCTGTCCTTTTTTTTTTACCCAATACACAGTAGATAAATTTTTAGATCTACCGATTTACAGTATGTACACAGAAGCAGTGTAAAAATCACTGTTCTTTAATGCATCATAGTTTTTATAATAGTTTTCTTTCGTTTTTGTTTATTTTGTCTGATTTTTTTTTAAATTTTTTTAAATTCTTCAGGAGCCCAAAAGAGTCTTCGGCGCTTCCTTTACCACAGAGCAACATCAACATCATCGCGGCCGATAAATATTTCCTGCCATTTGAGCTAGCCTGTCAATCGAAATCAGCCCGCATCGTAAATATTGCGCTTGACTGCTTACAGGTAAGGAAAATCCCTCTTAATACTTTGAATTCACCCAGCATCTAATTGCTGGGTGAAGTTGCACATCACTTGTTGCTCTGGTAGCAGATGATGGTGTGGCCTCAGTCATAATGTCCAGGCCAGTGATATGATAATATCTGATATCCAGGCTTCTTATAGTCCAGGTATATTATAGAAAGTGTTAAGTGAGTATGCACAGTATGTTAAATGTTGGTGCACAGTTGTGTATGCAAGATATTAGAAAACATGCACAGTAGTGCATTTTAGATATTAGTGAACACGTTCAGTGCTTGAATTTTGTTTGACATTTTATCTCTTGCTGGTCATGTGACTTTAATCAGGTACAATATCAGAACATATCTGTTTGTTTACATTTTACACATGGGAAATAGTGGTGATAAGACGCAAAGGTCAAATGAAGAAGACTGTCTCAATGATGTGTATTAAATGCGAGCCAACCAGAAAAGGACAGATTTTAACAGTTCAGCCTTGTTAATATGTTGAAACCCTAGCATTCCAATGGTAAATTGTTGATGTTCAGTTTTACTAACTACATTTTTTCGCCAAAATGGTCATTATTTAGAGCGATCGAAATTTTAAAATAATGATAATTGCAAAGGAACTGAATGCTCATCATGTTCTGATTCTATGGAAGACATTATACTCTTTGTTATTTTAATGTGAATAATTCAAGACAAGCAGCTCTTTAAAGTTCATGATGCACAGTATGAAATTGATTTTGAATCGGTCAATAGCATCATCTTGGTTTGTATTCAACAACTTTTTCTCCATGCTAAACATTGCTATCCTTAAAGTATTAATATTAAATAATTGTTATTAATTAGTACATATGATTGTCAATATTAATCATGAAATTTTATTGAACTGTTAATATCATCAAATTGTTATTATATTAGGGAATTTTACTAATATTGTAAAGCCCATTATTTTCGCTGCCCTTTATTTTTGTGATTTTACAATTTAAAATATTTCGTTTTCTTCTATTTCCGCCATTACTGTGTACAATTTTCAGTCGTTTTTTTAACATGATGCAGAAGCCAAAAATTATGTCTCTTAGTCTATATTTGTGCTAGTCAGAATAGAGCTCCCAAATTGTGGTGAGTTTCTTCTGATTTTTCAAGAAATCACCGACTGTACCCTCCCGTTTTTTAGGCTAGCTACCAAAGCAGGCCTACTGCAGCTACTCCAGGGCATGTAAAAATTAGAAAAGAAGTTAAACGATTATGGTTTTAAATCCTGTTTTATAAAAAATTTTTTTTTTTTTCCTAAAGCTAAATATCACTCTTGGTTGTTTGCTCGTACATTGATATTCAAAGTGAAACATGATTAAGATAATAGAAACAATATATACTATTTAATACAAAAAATGAAAAAAAATATTTCTTTCAAAATATTTTTTTAGTACCATAGAAAACATGCACGAGAGGGTGATAAACTAATACTTTTTTTTATTTGGCCTTAGCTAGTACCGCCACTCTACACCACTAACACTCTGTCTGGCTATGTGAAGTGAAGTGTGATGTAATGGCCTAGGCAGCCAAGAAAGCTATAGCCTGTAATTTTGAAGACACAACTATCATTTAGAATTTTGCTATTTTTGTGCGCCCTTAAATTTCGCGATCATGAAAATAAAGGGCTTTACTTAGTTATTTACTGTACTGTAACTGAATTATATTAATTAACTGTATGAATGGTTAATTGATATATGCTTTAAAACTATTGTGAATAAAGACAACAAGCTAACAAAAACATTGAAACTACAGGTAGCTTGAAATGCATCTAATTTAAACGGAAAATGATTAACTTTCTCCCTGCAAGAGTGCAATTGAAATGTTTGAATGAGAATATCAAAAGAAAAATGAATCGAAATAAGTTAAGCAGTAAGAAGAGAATGAAGTTATATCTTGGCTGTTAAAGTTTACATAAATACTTTGATTGTTTCTAAAGTGGAACTGCATTTTAATTATTTTGAGTATCTAAATATTCATGCTTGTTTTAGAGCCAGGGTATTCCACATTTAATGTCGAAAAATATGGTGCCTTTACGCTAAAGAGGGTTAGGCTAACTATTATCGAGATATCTTACGGTACCCAGGATTTATCGACCCATAAAAAAGTTAAAATTAATATTATTATTATTAACATTGATAAAAATAATGGTAAAAATGCGGTTTGGCTCAGTGGTTTTTATTCCGGTTGATGAACTTGTAGTCAGCAGGGGTACAAACAAATACAAACAGTAACAGACCCCATGGATGGCAAAAGGAACAAGGGAAAACAACGTAAAAGATTAAGAGATGAGATCGAAATTTATAGGGGAAGAGTGAAATGGTGCAACACAGCCAGAGAAAAAGATTGATTTGGCATTGATATCCTGAAACATTGTCCAGCAGTGGACTGACAATAGCTGATGATGAAGTCGAGCCTTGAGTCTAGGTGACAGCTTAATTAATCTACCATATGGGATTACAACCCAGACAAACCCAGCCGCAGGAAGAATTAGATGACCCACCCTTTGATAATTCCATATTCGGTTTTATTATTTTAACATAAATTTTATTTTAAAATTATTGCAGTAAAAAATTAGGCCTATCCTTTTAACAATAAATAAGCATATTGAAGGGCTATATTTATTGATCTATAGGAAAATACAGTTACAGATTTATTTATTAAAATAGCTAACTTAAATATAACAAAATTTACACATAAGATAAATTTGGAAGAAGCTGTATACACAAATTGAATAAGTTACAGAAGTTACAGCGTTTTTTTATAGGAAATATTTCTTGATTTAACAAGTGCTTGCTTTTTCTACATTAGTCTAAGTTCGTAATTTTGAGACTTAAAGCAGATAAAATTTGCTTTGGGGTGTTGGATACAATCACATTGTCTGCAAAATTAGATAGGTCTTATGAATTGAACTTAACCTATTTTAAACCGAAGGACTTCTACAGCTGAATTCTTGTGCAATAGGTAAGCCTAACACATGCAAATGCCTAGTCGGTAATGAACAACAAATAGCTCATGGGTTACCACTATCGTACAGTATACAGTACAAGACACCCACTTGTTGTGTAGCTTTACAATTCAGTCAAAAATTCATGTTCATGAACCAAGGCATAATAATTCGTATAGTAGGCCTACGATCTTCATATTTTGGTTTTATTGAACTGTAGTGTCAAACATTATATTTTGTGGTTACTCTTTAGAGGCATAGTATTTTTTTTTTTCCAAACGGTGCAAGATAGCCCTCTGTAGTAGGACACAAGCTGTCGGTCACTCTTTCATTATTATCAACTTAATTACATGTTAGGCCTGCGAATTATCCTAATGACCACTTAGATCTCCGACAATTGAGTAATTATACATGCATCTGGCTGCAGTACGGATAGTCTTTGTGATACCGCAACAGCACAAGATTCTCACTTCTTATCCAGGGCAGTTCATGGTGGATACAAGTGAGGCAGATTTTCACATGCAGTATCCATGGATACAGAGTATACAAACCATTTATGAAAAACTTAGTATTGTACATAATATCATTGTTATTATAATTTACAGTGGATTTTACTGAATTGAAATAAAATAGTAATAAATCAATTAAACAAATTGTAATTATGATAATGGTATACATGTTTCATAAAGTAGGATTGATAAGAATTTATGACTAATTAGATTAATAGTATTCAGCTCTCCCTGATGTCTGTTCCCCACACATCCCCCCCCCCCCCCCCCCCCCCGAATGCAGTACAGTATGCTTTCAACTGAAAATTAATGCCATGAAAGAATTCCTTGCTAATTATCAGACATAGTTATATTTCTTTCTATTCTTTTGCAAACAATAGAACCTTAAATTTGCTGTACAGATCAATTTATAGATTAGATCACCTAATACAGATTGTTTCCTTTATGTGTGAAAAACTTATTATATCTTTTGAATGCTATTTAATGTTTAGATTGGATTTTTAAAGGTTTTTTTTATTCACAAAATCTATAATGATTATTTAACAGTATGGTACACTGTGTTAAAATATGGTTTTGGAAATAACCATTGTTATGGTGTTCTCCACCCTTTTAGTGGGACAATTACTGATTGTCAACCCTATTGTGAAAATAATATTATTCTACTATTTAAAAAAAGAATATGAGTTGCAAGGAAATCATATCCAGTGTTGTTTTCTCCATTAATTTGTGTCCTTGATGTACTTAATTGATGCTTGTTCATCCAGTTGTAGACTCAGTGATGTATTTTGTATTGATTCTATTGATTTACCATTTTGCAGGAAGGCATAATCCATTATACCATGGACCTATTTAGTAATTATATATTATTTATATCCTTTTTTTTTAATTATTATTATGGGTGCATGACTGCTCAATTTAAAAAAAGCCAGAAATTTATATAAAGGAAAATCTTTTAAATATGAAGAATCCTCTATGCAATAATAGAATATATTACTGGTGAAATAACTTCCTTTATTGATACTTCAGTAATAAAGGTGTGGCAATATATTATTTTGATAAATATAACAGATTTAAACAATTTGAAAATAATTTTCATAAGGCGTGTATGGATAAATACCCCTCTACAATAAATGGAATAGCCTGTTATAGTTTATACTATTTTTTTTGGTATGGAAATAGATTATTCCAGGGCCCACTATAATCGTCTGTATAATTAATTTAGATAGATTCTGTTTTTGCTAATAATTGTACAGCTGTAGGCCTATTGTGTGTTACGTTCTGTTGACATGAATATTCATGAGATTGTATGAACCCCTTGCATCCACAGTTCACCTAAAAAAACATGACAGCATAGAAAAATTAGGAAAACGATGATGGTTTTCTTTGCTTTATTTTACGAGAAATATTGAGGCTAGGAATGAAATAGATCTGACATGGCTATTGTTATAAAAAATTATAATGTAATGTGACTATGCCTGTCCCTATTGACTTAACACTCACCACATAGCTTTGTGGAAATCATTATTAAAAAAGTCAATATATGCATCTAGGAGCTGATGCACTTGGGTGTCAGAAAAAAAAACTCACTACAAAAGCAATTTCCACATTCCCAGATCCTGATGAAACCAACATGTTTATTGCAGGGGTTCTGCTTTTGTGTAAATTTCTGAAAGACCGAGTAAATTATAAATTAATAGATTGTTTATTTTGTTTAAAAAAATACTTTACAGAAAAAATAATAAAATTGTATTTTTACATTACAGAAAAAAATCCTTATATTAAAGATTCCAAAATATTCATTTTTAATTTTAAGTCAGATTCATGATAGATTTATACCATGGATTCATGCATTCATTTTGATTTAGCGAAATCAAGTTAATGAGTAATTAAGAGCAATATGAAATGAATGCAGTGGTTGTCTGTGGTTGCATTCTATCTTTTAGGCTGCTTTCCTGGTAAATTATAGGTTTAGCATACATTCTTTTGTTGGTTCTGAATACAACATGGCCCTTGGGCATGTTGAAGAATGCAACTCTTGGAAGAGAGCAGGGTTTACTTCCTGATCTACAAACCCAATTCACCATCAGGGGTGATGTAGCCTGTAGATGCTACATGATCCCGATCCCAAGAGCCCATCTTGAATAACTACTGTACACGCTTGTTGAGCCATAATACTTGCTCACCATTTTACCCGCCCACCATTTTACCCAGTATGGTTGGGGTTGAGGTTGAATTTTGTTTTTTAGTTTAGGACTTGAAAAATAGCACTTGAAACAATGTTTGCACTTATAAAAATGTTTTCATGTCAAAACTATGTTGTTGTTTTTTTTTTTGGTTGAGTGTCTATTTGAAAACATCTACAAATATATAATAATGATAAAGTAAACTTTTTAAAACCTATTATTTCACTAAACTTTTTCCCAATTATGACAGAATGCTATACATCAATGCATTCATTTGTCTTAGCCTGACCATGATAATATAGGTAGGCCTACCTCAAATGTAAATAGGATATAATAAAGGGGTCATGAAGGTTAATAATCAAATCATTCTGAATAGTGTTCCACTCCAACCTAAATTCTTAAGTATGCCATCGCTGTTTTAAGTGCGGATGTTGGGCAGTACAGTCAATATAGCAATGCACTGGCTGTCGCTCAAAGATGGAAATTTACTATTTTATGTGTGTAATTAAAAGACTAACTGTCGTGTGTGGAGCTAATAAACTAATAATAATGAAATTCAATATTTGCAATATTAACTTATAATAAGTAAATTATTTTTAGCAAGAAAATATTCTTTGCAAATTAACAGTATGCAATGTATTTAAAAATTTGATAATTATATCTTTTTAAATAAATGAGTAGTATTATGTTTTGAATGTATTTATGAAGTGTTTTTCATATTTTTTAACAAAACAATCTTCTACCAGTATACTGATGATAAACCTGATCAAAGAACATTGCCTACAATTATTTGAGAGCATATTTCATTTTTACTATAGTAATACTATAGTAAATGTAATATAATAATATAATAATAGTAAATATATAGTAATAATGAAATTCAATATGTGCAATATTAACAATAAATATAATAATAATATTAATAATATAATAATATAATATAGTAAATATATAGTAATAATGAAAGTCAATATGTGCAATATTAACTTATAATAAGTAAATTATTTTTAGCAAGAAAATATTCTTTGCAAATTAACAGTATGCAATCTATTTAAAATTCGATAATTATATCTTTTTAAATAAATGAGCAGTATTATGTTTTGAATGTGTTTATGAAGTGTTAGAACATGGCCTACTATTATTTGAGAGCATATTTTATTTTTACTATAGTATATGAACAAACATGCTTCACCATGAAACGATAATTATCAAATAATTATTATGGTTCTTATTTGTTCAAAAATCAGGAGGTAACATTTATGATGCATGATAAATCTTGAGTTCATGCCTTTTCAAAATATTCACTGTACCATATTGAAACTAGTGCATTTATATTGATTGTCGAAAAATCATTCTGATATGAAGTATAGTTTGAAATTTACATTTGAATTTATACGACAGTGCCTGTTGCTGATAATAATAATAATAATTTGGATTTGTAAAGCGCAAAATACATAGGTCTCTGTGCGCTAGAAATTAAATAAACAAATTAAACAAATTAAAATAAACTAAAGAGATGAGTCTTGAGACGAAGATATATTGACAAAAATAATTGGAAACATCGCAAAAATGGAGATCCAATATTCATCTATACTTTTATGTATTTTATACAGTATAACATACAGAAATTTTCTTTCAATTTACCCATCGACAATCAAAATCTACTATGCCGTAAGGCAAGGTGGTATTATAATGTTCCCTTGGAGTTTTGATAGGGCACATTCTTCTCAAAGTATTAATTGTGTTTACTGTAAATGCTCGAATAAGAGCTGCACCAACGTTACATATTTCACTAAGCACCAGTTTCGAATATGCGAGAGTTTGTTTGCTTGTTTGTAAGTAAAAGAAACTGTTTGAGAAACAGGATTTTAAATACAATGTATACAGTGTTAAAATGAATAAATAACACAATGAAAACCCAAAGCATCCCGCCAATATTTTTTATAAGCGCCACTCACAAATAAGCACCGCGCTGAAGCCTCCAAAAATGTGCCTCAGCGCTTATTCGAGCATTGGTATGGTAGATCCAGTGGTATTAAACTAGCTATCTAGAAACACCTTTATAAGTGTATAACTTATTTTTTTGAGAAAATATACACATACAGTACTGTAC